TGCTGAACAAGCTTCTTACTTATGATCCTGAGAAGGTAATAGATTATGCATCTGCATTTAGGTGTATCCATTTTGGACCTGGATGTTATGTTGACTTTGGGGTGTGCGAGATACATTTTACAGAGAATAACCGCAGAGGCTGCACTTAAGCATGAATGGTTCCGTGAAGTCCCTCTGCCGAAATCCAAGGATTTCATGCCTACTTTCCCTGCCCAACATGCTCAAGACAGGTGTAGAGATATTCATAAGAGTTAATGTTTACTGGTTTACTTTCATATGTTTCTTGTTCTTTTTGTCTAATATTTTTCCTGTGTTAAAGGCGAATGAGGAGGATGTTGAAGAGCCCTGATCCATTGGAAGAGCAGCGAAGAAAGGAATTGACGCAAGCTGAACTAGGGTCTGGTGGTTTATTCGGTTAAAGCCTGGTTCCTGACTGAAAATAGCTGCTGGTGATCTAGATCCGTACTCTCCAAGACCTTTAGATTACCACCTCTGAGGCAAAGGTTGCTCATTAAGTGGAGGTTGGGAACACTTGTATGTCAAGACTACCACCATTCATGCCTTTTTTTCTTTTTCCCTCAGGGATTCTTGGTGATTTGGAAGAGTATTTTCCTCCCATTTTCCACTAGATTCCTTGCAGGTTAAATGTGTTTCCAAGCTAGGGTGATCAGTTAGAGGTGCAGCTGCTCCTGTGACAATGCTTACCCTGCAAGGTGTGACATGACAGCCTCATCTGAAAAAAACTCATTTCTGCTGAAACTTGTGTATGTAGCTTATAATGTTATTGAATATAACTACATTGGATTTTGTTACGAGTGATAGAAACTACTCTTTTCCCCAATGCACATCTTTATCCACCGTGTTTTAATGTCGACATTGTGTTTGCAAGAAATACTGGTGTGAAGTGGAGGTGACATTCTTAGCTTGTCATTGAAGAAGAAATTGACAATTGCCCGTTGAATCTCAGAAGGTAATTTATAGTTTTGATGTTTGAAGGGGTGATAACTTGATTAAATTTGGCTGACATTTCTCTGGAAATAGTTTATCTTAGTTCTGTTGCCTCAGTAACCTTTTCAAAAGGCATTAGGATTTGAGCTACTTCTAGGGAAATTAATGTTCTCTTGATTTGTTTTTCTGTCATTCAAGTCTTTTGAGAGTTCACGAATCACGGCAGCAGTTGAAGGGAAATGCAGTTGCAATCTGCATAGTAATTTTCGGGTCTTTGCATGACTGTTTACCAAATATACGCATGGTTAACTCTATTGACATTTTACGTTTTTTCCCTTCAATTCAATTGTTTTCACGTCTTCATGTAGACTTTTGTTCTAATAAGCCCTAAGGTGTTAGGGAGTGAAAGTAAATAGACATGGTCTGGTTTTAACCTTGAAAGAAATATATGTTTGGTGATGTGGAGATTGCTTTGTTTTGCATTGTCTAAGTTGCTACTCACCTCTTCATGGACCCTCCTTGTAAGGGGGAGATTATATATATATATATATTTCACTGTGATTTTAGAAGATTCGAGCTTTGAACTTTGCTCCAGAGACCTTTCATGACATTGCGAATGTCGATGCAGTCTAAAGAAGCAAGCAGTTTCAGGGGGGGTCACCCACCACCTGCACATACAGTGGATTTTATAGAACCTCTGATTAGTGTACCCCTTCTGCCTTCTGGCTACTAGAGGTCAGGTACCCATACAAACCTTTTGCCTGCTTCATGAGATTAACGGGTTAGTATTGATGTCCTCATCCGTTGTCTCTCGAGCTTTTCCTCTTTAAATTGACTAGCATAGCATCCGGATTCTGGTTATTGGTATACTCTCTGAAATTGTAGATATAATCAATCAGTGTGTATTAGGACTTCCATTTCATCAGCCTATAATAGCTTTCTCGAGATGAACCCATTTAGGATTTGTGCTAGTTTTCATGTCTCTCTAGCTAACCTAAATCAGATCATCATGCATCTATTGTATTCATGTTTATATATATGTTTTTTTTTCTTTTCACTTTCAATCTTTTGGGAGCGATCTGTGTGGTGGGACTTGTGGGCATATCTCTAAGGCTGTCTTTGGTTCTCAGGGATTTCCGACCTTAAGGAGATGAATAGATGTTTTAAAATACGCAACTGATGAAAAAGAAGAAGGTTGATTTCAGTTTTTAATAGATTACAGTATCGGGTGTTTGCACCATATTCTTTCCTGAAGCCATGGAAGACACAGCAAGCAAAACTTGTCGATTCTGTGACATGGGTTGAAGTAAAAGAGATGCGAGATATTCTGATGTATACGGTCAATGAAGAAGAATATTGTGTTTATGAGATGCCAATTCGCTTCCGGAATAGGCGAATCCGCCCGCTCGAGGAAGGCCTCATCTGTGAACAGTCTGACGCCATTGCTGGAGCTCTGTGAGAAGAAATTCTCGTGGCTGCATGCAACCCATATGATTGTTTCGAACCGACTAATGGTGCTCAGATAAGTCCACGGCAAGGTCAAAGACGAGAGAATAGCAGCAGAGAGCCACCATGGCTCGTGAGGTACATACAGAATCCGTATGGTCTCTCGAGCAGCTTTCAAAGCAAAGCATGGCAGCGACCAAATCGCAAGCAATCTCACAGAAACCTGCAATATGAAAAAAGATAAACCACCTTTTGGATACAACAAGAAAGAAGAACCGGCAGAAATGTTTCGAAACCAAGAATCGATCATCCTACAAATCAGGAAGTGAGTTTACAAAACAACATCACGTTACGCCACTGAATCGCACAGAAGGCAGCATTCATGAATCATCTAAAGAGGATTTTGATCGGATTTGAAACCCAGAAAAAGTCAAACCGCAGACCGTAATCTGTTTGATGTATCGATCTTTGAGTCGTCCACTGAGTTGAGTTGATCCACGAATAGAAACTTTCCTCACCCCATGCTTCCCCAGATTATGCGAGACGCAAATAAGAGAAACACCGGGCAAACACGCCTGCGAAACGACGATATCGAGCTCGAAATTCTTGTACTCGTACTTCTCACATCCCGGGCAATGGCTCTGCTCCAAAACCGTCACCGGAAGTGCTACGCCGATCGGACGAAAGCCGTCCACGACAAGACCAAACCGAGAACCGACGATTCTTTGAACCCTAGGAACGTCAGAAACATCTTGAGCCTCTGCGTCGTCCGATTGACGTCATCGTCTTCGGTGTCCACACTCTCTCCGCCGCCATTGCTCCACCGATTGACCCACGAGAAGTTAACTCGAATCGAGCAAAGGCGTCTCGGCGGGAGGCGATTCGCTCCCTTTCAGCGGGAGAATCCGTCATTGGAGGTTTAATCGAAGACGTTTCGAGGAAATCTTTTTCAGGTTAATACGAATACGAATACGATAATAATGGTGAAAATCGGAGCTCGGCGGTTTTGATCTTAAAAGCTGGAAAAAAAACATTAAATGATATTTGGTAATTACGCATTGGTAAGATCGACGGTTGAGAATTCATTAAAAATTCTAAATAAAAACATGAATCGGTTAAAATCTTATCAATAAATACATTTCTTCTTGCAAAAAATACATTAATTTACAATTTTTTTCAAATTTCTACACGTAATTAGATAACATTTTTCGATAAACGATGCTGATTTGGTTGATCGAATTTTCCACATTAGTGTCATATAGCAAAAATTTTCCATATCATTAATAAAATAAAATAAAAATGAATATAATATTAAAATTAAAATTAAAAACTTAAAACATAGGCATACATATACAGATTTACATATATATATTTCAATATATATATATATACATTTTAATATTATATATATATACACATATATAAATACATATAAATTTTTAATTTTAAATCTTTAATTTTTACTTTAAAATTTTAAATTTTAAATTTTTATTTATTTTAATTTTATTTTAATTTTATTTTAATTTTAATATTATTAATACCATGAAAAAATTTCGTCATGTGATGGTAACATGGAAAAATTCGACAAGTCATGTCAATACCCTTCGCGGCAAATCGTTATCCACTATCCAGTCCCAATTAACTTCATTAGATTTGTTATAAAAATTTTGGAGAAAATTGCAAATTGATATATTTTGTATGAGATAAAAAAAATTCATATATTTATTTGTGAAGTCGGTATCGAGTTCTCATGGCCGTTCTGACGCTCGTTCGTGCAAGAAGAAGAAACGACACCGGAGTTTTAACGAGTTCGGTTACCGAGCGGAGCTCGGGCCTACATCTCGGCCGGAACGGCGCCGGCGAATCCACTAGAAGAACAGTACAGCAGCGGAAAAACAGAAGCTCGGCGGATCTCCACAATCCGGAGCCTCACCGAGAAGAATCGAGAACCAGGAGAAAGAAACAACCAAGATCTTACCACGATCTTACCGATCTACACCTCGAGCAGCCTCGGCGAACTACCGAAAGTCCTCCGCCATGCACTCGCCGCAATCGCCTCTCTCTCTCCTCTGTGTCTCTCTTTTTCTCCGATGAAGATCGAATGAAGACGAAGCCTTAGGGTTTCATTAACCCTTGCTAACAAAACGCCGCGTATCGTGAAGCATTCACCTCTCCTTCACGAGGAGGGTTTCACTTTGTTCACCAACATGGGTCGTAAGGCCTAACATTATTGATAAGATTTGAATAAATTATTAAATTTAAAAAAAAATTTCCTTAATTATAACATTTAATTATTAATCCTATAAATTCCATATTTATTTACCTAATCATACCATCCCAAATACTTATTTCTTTTCAACCAATTTCAACTTATCTTTTGGTTAAATTTTCTTGACATGGAAAACAAATCTAGAATTCTCTTTTCTTTGATACTATTCACAACTTTATGTATCATTGATTTGGTAAGGCCAAGTTTAGCCGAATTGCAGCAACCGCAACAACTTCCAAATCTTTCCGAAATCTTGCCTATTGATATCACAAAATGTATCGTTAACGGTCCAATGTGTTACACGTAGGGGTGGGTGTTTCGCAATGATTCGATTTGGTTCTTTTGGATTTATAAATCAGTTATTATATCATATTCGATTCAATTTGATTTTAGTTTTTCTTAAAATAAAATAATTTTTCTTAAAAATTTTGGTTTTTTTGGATTTTTTTTTTAAATTTAATTCGTTTCTGTTTTATTACCGATCAGAGAATTCTGTATAGTTCGGATCGGAAAAAATATCGTATTTTTCGGTTCGCTACGATTTGTTTGCCATGTTTCTTAAAATTCATTTTTTCTTCAATTTCTAAAAAACGGTTAGCTCTGGAAATATTGCGGCTTCTCCTAGAAATAAGTGAAGTGATGATAAGTTGCACTATGATGTAGCCTAGTTGTTACCTTTTATTTTTTTCTAATGTGTTTTGATGATTTTAGATTATTATTTGCAATTTAATAAAACTAAAGATATCTTCGAAATTTTTTGGGTTTAACAAATTTTTTTATCAACCATTCCAAGAATTTTTTTTTTGATAATCTGTAAATTTACCAAACCTTCGATCCAAATACATCTTTCATAAAATTGGAAAAGTCCAGATGAATACTATCTCCAAATGAAAACTCGAACGTGAGTTAAAAATAAATTTTGTCATTATAGAGGGTATTTTTGTATTTGTGTATAATTGTGATTAGGTCAAACCTCTTGTATAAATACCACAACATTGAGAATAATAATTAAGCCACTTTTACAAACTGTTATATGGTATCAGAGCTTGTGAAACCCTAAGTTTTTTTTTCGGCTGGATACTACTTCGTCTCTCGTCAACCATGGCTTCTGATGATGCATCTGCTTCTCGCACTTCTGAAACCGTCGCCACGTTCGACCCGGCAACACCGCAAAAGTCATTGATCTTTGTCAACATGTCTAATATCACCAAGCTATCACACTCCAACTATATTACGTGGAGTATTCAAGTGCGATCTCTCCTTGAGGCTCATAATTTAATTTGTTTCATTGATGATACTCTCACCGTGCCTTCTGCCACCGTTATTGCTGATGGAATCAGCGTTGATAATCCTGCTTTTGCACCTTGGAAACAGCAAGATCGTATGTTATTCAGCACACTTCTCGGCACCATTGTCGTCGAACTTCAGCCCCTCATTGTCCGATCAGCCTCTGTGCGTCAGGCTTGGAAAACACTCGCCGATATTTACGGCAAAGAACTGTCGACGCGTGAAAGGATCTCAATCTGTCAATGAGTATTTTCGATTTGTTACCATGAAGTCAGATGAGTTAGCTTTACTTGGAAAACCGATGGATCACGAAGATGTACTCGAAGCGATCCTTGATGGTTTGCCGGAAGAGTTCAAACCTGTAATTGATGTTGTTCAGGCTCGGGATACTGCTATTTCCATCAGTGAATTGCATGAAAAGTTGTTGAATCATGAAGCCAAGCTTCACATCTCGGCTTCGGTTCCTTCTGCAGCCTTTCCCGTTTCGGCTCACGCTGTTGATACTCGGACACAACAGCAGCATCGATTCGGCCCTCGCCCTCCGTATCGCTCTGCACCGCGACCGATGTCTCGCCAGGATCATCGCTTTACTCCTCGGGGTTCTGCTCAGCACTCGCGCCCGCGAGGTTACCAAGGACGATGCCAAGCATGTGGCACCGTCGGACACAGTGCTAGTCGTTGTTACCAATTCAACCTTGTTGCCGCTTCGGGAAGTTCTCCTGGCTCCGCCTCATGGTCTCCTTCTCCAAGGTCGTGGCAGCCGAGAGCCCACGCTGCTGTTCATTCTTCGTATGAACCCGATCAGTGGCTTCTCGACAGTGGTGCTTCGCATCACATTACTACGGATCTTCACAATCTTGCCATTCACAATCCTTATTCCGGTGGTGAGGATGTCGTCGTTGGTGATGGCTCGAGTCATCCGATCACTCACACTGGTTCTATCTCTATCCCCACCTCGTCTCGCTCGGTTCATCTTGACGATGTTTTATGTGTTCCGGGCTTGTGCAAAAATCTGGTTTCGGTGAACAAGCTATGCTCTACTAATGATGTTTCTGTGGTATTTTCGTCTTCTGGATTTCAGGTGAAGGATCGCATCACGGGGGCGCCAATCCTACGAGGTCGAAGTAAGGATGGAGTGTATGAGTGGCCGTTATCTGGTTCTCTAGTTGAGTCTCCTCAGGCTTTGTCGTGTTCTCAGTCCACTTTGTCCGAGTGGCATCTTCGTCTAGGTCATCCTGCGTTATCTATTTTAAAAAGTGTCGTGTCTAAGTTCAAGTTACCTTTGTCTCGGGATTCTTCTATTTTTCCTTATCATTCTTGCAATATTAATAAAAGTCATAAGCTTTCCTTTTCTTCCTCGACTCTCACTTCTTTTAAACCGCTTGAGATTGTCTTTTCTGATGTATGGATGTCGCCTATCTCTTCGATTGATGGTTTCAAATATTACGTTCTTTTTGTCGACCACTTTACTCGGTATTCTTGGCTTTATCCCTTGAAACGCAAATCTGATGTTCGAGCCACTTTTGAACGCTTTAAGCCATTAGTCGAGAACAAATTCAATTCGAAAATTGTTACTCTATATAGTGACAATGGTGGTGAGTTTCTCGCTTTATCTTCCTTTCTTGCCTCTCATGGCATCTCTCATCTTACTACTCCTCCGCATACTCCTGAGCACAATGGTATATCTGAGCGTCGTCATCGACATATTGTTGAAATTGGATTATCTCTTCTCACGCACGCGTCTATTCCTACTTCCTATTGGTCTTTTGCCTTTTCGACCGCGGTGTATCTCATTAATCAAATGCCAACACTGGTTCTTGATATGTCTAGTCCGTATGAGCGTCTTTTCTTATCCTCTCCTAATTACTCTAAACTTCGTGTCTTTGGTTGTTTGTGTTATCCTTGGCTTCGTCCGTATTCCTCACATAAGCTTGATCCCAGATCTAAGGCTTTGTCTTTCTCGGTTATTCTCCCACTCAGAGTGCATATTTTTGTCTTGATCTAGTTTCTTCTCGTGTATTTGTGTCACGTCATGTTCAATTCCATGAAACTGTTTTTCCGTTTTCTGGTCTCACGAGTCAGTCCTCTCCTTCGTCTGTTGAACCTGTCTCCTCGTCTCCAGTGGCTCCCTTTGGTCGGCATGTCACTGCGTTTCAGCAGCCACTCGTCGCTTCATCCCCAGTTCAGTCCCCGGGCTCCGGTTCTTCACCGCCCGACTCATTAGGCTTATGCGATAGTCCAGCATTGCTGCTGCCAGCGGATGGGTCTGCTCGTGATTTAGACTCTTGTCCGACCCCTGCTGATTCTGTTTCTGCAGATCTCATTGCTCCGGAATCTGTAGATGTTGATGCGTCTGTTGATTGTGTACCGAGAAATACTCACCCGATGCAGACGAGGTCCAAAAATAATATTCTCATGCCTAATCCGAGGTACACTCTTATGGCCTCTGTTGCAGATACGTCGGACATTGAACCTTCATCCGTCACTCAAGCCATTAAGGATCCGAATTGGCGCGCTGCTATGACGGAGGAGTTTCAAGCTCTCTGTCGGAACAACACTTGGGATCTTGTTCCGAGCTCTGACGCGTCTAACGTTGTGGGTTGCCGTTGGGTTTTTCGTATCAAGCGTAAACCGGATGGCTCGGTTGATCGATACAAGGCTCGCTTGGTTGCTAAAGGCTTTCATCAACGCCCAGGCGTTGACTATCATGAGACGTTTAGCCCGGTTGTGAAACCCACAACTATTCGTGTTGTTCTTAGTCTTGCTGTATCTCGTGGGTGGACTTTGCGTCAGCTTGACGTGAACAACGCCTTCTTGCAAGGTAATCTCAGTGAAGAAGTGTACATGTCTCAACCTCCGGGTTTCATCGATCATGCTTCACCACAGTTGGTCTGCAAACTTCGGAAGGCAATTTATGGTCTCAAACAGGCGCCTCGTGCCTGGTATTCGGAGCTTCGTCATTTTCTTCTCCAGAGTGGGTTTCAGAATTCTGTCGCGGATGCTTCATTATTTATCCTTCACATGGGCCCGGTTCAGTTGTTTGTACTCGTCTATGTAGACGATCTCATTATCACGGGGAGTTGCTCAACGCATTTGGAAAAGTTTATCTCAGATCTTGCTGCTCGATTTTTTCTGAAGGACCTTGGTATGCTTTCTTATTTTCTCGGTGTTGAAGCCTCTCGCTCGGACACAGGTATCCTTCTCACTCAACGCAAATACATTGGTGATATTCTTTCTCGTGCTCGTATGTCGGAAGCCAAACCTGTTGCAACTCCGATGGCTGCGTCCTCTCGACTCACGGTGGTATCTGGATCAGCTCTTTCTGAACCGACAGAGTATCGGGCGATTGTTGGTAGTCTACAGTATCTTTCCTTGACACGTCCAGATATTAGCTTTGCTGTCAATAAGCTCTCCCAGTTCATGCACTCTCCGACCGATGAACATTGGTAGGCTGTCAAGCGGCTTTTACGGTATCTTGTGGGTACTCGTGATCATGGTATCTTTCTCTCGGCGTCCAACTCACCGGTCCTGCATGCGTTCTCTGATGCTGATTGGACTGGTGACAAATTCGATTTCAAATCCACTGGCGCATACATTGTGTATCTTGGCAGTCATCCGATATCGTGGTCCTCTAAGAAGCAAAAGGGTTTGTCTCGTTCTTCTACCGAGGCAGAGTATCGTTCCGTTGCCTCAACGGCGGCCGAGGTTTGCTGGGTCGGCTCCCTCTTGTCGGAGCTTGGTTGTCCTTCCCCATCCGCTCCAGTGATCTATTGCGACAATCTCGGTGCTACATATCTCAGTGCGAATCCTGTTTTTCACTCTCGTATGAAGCACATTGCCTTGGATTACTTATTTGTTCGTGGTCTTGTTGAGAGTGGCGATCTTCGGGTAGCTCATATCTCTGCAGCCGATCAACTGGCGGATGCGCTCACGAAACCGCTCCCAGGTCCTCCTTTTCTTCAGTTGCGAGTCAAGATTGGAGTCACCTCCGGTGCTCCATCTTGAGGGGGCGTATAGAGGGTATTTTTGTATTTGTGTATAATTGTGATTAGGTCAAACCTCTTGTATAAATACCACAACATTGAGAATAATAATTAAGCCACTTTTACAAACTGTTATAGTCATATCATTATTAATTAACTCACCCAATCTTGGATCCGTTCACATATAATTTATATATGAGAATATAATTCCAATATAGTTGTGATGAATAATTGTTCTTGAGATTCAATAATACAAATCAAACCGGAACTAAACCAGATTTATATTCTAATATGATTCAGCGAAGCCTAAATATTATTGTATATTGACATATTTATAAAGATAGGATACTGATTTCAATATATAGTTTTTCTTCGAAAAATAATATTATTAATTGTCACTGTACACTACAAAAAAACAGTTATATAGCGACGCAAAAATCCATCGCAAATATAAAGGAAATCTGTCGCAATTAAGAATTTGCGACGGAATGCGACGGACTTATTTCCGTCGCTATAACGCTGTCGCAAACGTATAACGGTCGTTAATCCGTCGCAAGGGTGCGACGGAAAAAATCTGCGTTTTGCGACGGAAAATGACGGATAATTCCATATACATACATTCATACACATACATTACACACATACAAATATACATACATATATATATACACATATTTTCATATACACAAACACACATACACATTCACACATATACACATATATACACATACATAAATACTCATACACATATACATTTCCCAAACACATACACATATACATTTCACAAACACATACACATACACATATACATTTCACAAACACATACACATACATATAAACACACACATATACACATATTCATATACACATACAATCACATATACATACACATACATATTCACATTCACATATATATACACATACACATACATAAACACACACACATACACATTCACACATACATACACATTCACTTACACACATATATAAACACACACATACACATTCACACATATATATACACATTCACTTACACACACATACACATACATAAACACACACAAATACATCAAATACACACATATATATATATAAATACATATATATTACTTTATGGGAGAAATTTGGCGATCTTTGGAGGATTTAGAAAAAAAATTTCGATTTTTATTTTTTTTTCCGAAAATTTTTTAAGCCTGATGAAGAAGATATATTGTGTTTTGCGACGGAATTTTCCGTCGTAATCCGTCACAAAATGAAATTAATTTACGCGCCCAAAATTCAAAAAATTTCGTCGAAAAATGAAACCAAACGACGGAATATTCTGTCGCAATCCGTCGCAATTTTTATTTTCCGTCGCAAATCATCTATTTCTTTGTTGTGATATAATTATCCGTCGCAAACCGTAGCAAATTGCGACGGATGTTGCGACTGTTTGCGACGGATAATTTTTTTCCACATTCTGTCGTAAAATCGTCACATTCCGTCGCAATTTTCTGTGCGACGAAAATTTCCGTCGCAAATTCCGTCGCTATATGCAGGTTTTTTTTGTAGTGGTATATACCTAGAAGTTTCCTCCGTCATTTCTTTGTTCAATTCCACGTATGCATGAAATGGCATTAACCATTATTAACACAAATAACTTTTACTCAAATTAATTTATTACTTGACTATAGAGATGTCAAAATGGGTCGGGTTATGCGGGTTAACCCGACCCAACCCGATTATTGACCTAAATGGTTTAGTAATTTTTTTAAATGGGTTAAGTGGGTTTTAACCCATTCAACCCTTGTTATTCAACCCATTAAAACCACTATATTATCAGCATTAACATTTATATTAACCCATTCAACCCACTATATTATTATATAATAACTAAAATTCTTATATATAGATATATAAATAGTAATATACGTTGTATATATATTTAAATATATATTATATATGTACGTATATATAAACATATATATGTATGCGAATTAAAAAATATAATATCGGATTGAAAAGTTTGCTATCGTTTTTGAATCGAACCGAAATATTTGGTATCGTTTTTGAACCGAACCGAAAAAATTGGCACCGTTTTCAAATCAAAACGAAAAAAATTGATATCGTTTTCGAATCGAACCGAAAAACTCGTTACCTTTTTCGAATCGAACCATACCAAAAAGTTTAGAAACCTGATATCCAAAAAATCGGTATCGTTTCCGAACAACCAAAAAAATCGATAACGTTTTTGAATTGAACCAAAAAATTTGTTACCATTTTCCAATTGAATAGTACCGAAAATTTCAAAAACCCGATATTCGAAAAATCGGTACCATTTTTTAACCGAATTGAAAAAATCGATATCGCTTTCGAATCGAACCGAATCGAAAAAATCGATATCATTTTTTAATCGAACCGAATCGAAAAAATCGATATCGTTTTCGAATCGAACCGAATCGAAAAAATCGATATCGTTTTCGAATCGAACCGAATCGAAAAAATCGATTTCGTTTTCGAATCGAAAAAATCGATTTTGTTTCTGAATCGAACAAAAAAATTTGTTACCATTTTTGAATCGAATAGTACCGAAAATTTCAAAACCCCGATATTCGAAAAATCAGCACCATTTTCGAACCGAATCGAAAAAATCGATATCGTTTTCGAATCGAACCGAATCGAAAAAATCGATATCGTTTTCGAATCGAACATAATCAAAAAATCGATTTCGTTTCTGAATCAAACCGAAATAATCGATATCGTTTCCGAATTGAAACGAAAAACTCATTGTCGTTTTTGAACCGAACGGTACCGAAAAAATTGATAATCCGATATCCGAAAAATCAGTATAATTTTCAAATAGAATCCGATATATGTGTACGAACTAAAAAAAATATCTCAAAGATTATTATGTTTAAATGATAATAAGTTTATTGTGAGAAAATTAAATGGGTTAATTAGGTGGTTATGGGTTTTATGGGTTAACCCAACCCATATAACAATTATTATTGGGTTGACCCAACCCAAACCTATAATTTTTAAAATCCAAATGGGTTGGGCCCAAATGGGTTGGGCAACCCATATTGACATCACTACTAGACGTTTTTTTTACTATAGTCAACAGTTCATTCAAGTTAATTTATCGCTTTGAAGGAAGTTACCACCATTGAAGACTTCGATTTTTTATAAGGGATCTAAGAGCTGTTTCATTGTAAAAGTAACGTTTTTACTCTTTTAACCCTATAAATTCCATGCTTCTTCTGCTACACACAACATCTCATACACTTGTTCTTTTCCAAGCACATCTCCTTAGGGAAGAACCAAAAAAAAGGTGTAAGAGTTTAAATTTTATTGAGATGGAAAACAAATCCCGAGCTCTCTTTTCTGCGATGTTAGTCGTGGCTTTATGTATCGGTGATTTAGCAAGGTCGGGTATAGCCCAAGTGCAGCAGCCGCAGCAACTTCCGAATCTTCCCGGAATCTTCCCACCCGGTTTTCCGATTGATATCACGAAATGTTGGTCATCTCTCATTAATATTCCGGGATGTTTGGTGGAAATCACAACGTCAATTCTCACGGGACATTTTGGACATATCGGTCCAATGTGTTGCAAAGAGTTTTCGGCTATAGAAGATAATTGTTTGCCAAAGATGTTTCCTATGATTCCTTTCTTTCCTCAACTTCTCAAAAGCAGTTGTTCCGGGAATGCGGCGGCTCCTCCTACAAACAAGTGAAGTGATGATGAAGTTACAACATTATATCGTCTAGTTGTCGGAGTTTACTTTCCAAATCTTATTTATGGGTTTTGTGGTTTTAGAATGTTATTTTCAAATGAATAAAATTCAAATTACTTGTGAAATCTTCATCCTTTTTTATTGGCTATCTTCGCTTTAAACATCGTTTAATAGGAACATTTAGGATTACATTAAAATGATAATAAAAAAAATAGCAATACAATATAAATGTAGCTTCTTTCTTAAAGAAAAAGATTCCAACACTTGAGAATTTTAAAGCCCAAAATGAAATAAAAATAATTATAATCGCCACACAGTTGTTATTATGGTTGATAACAGAAAAAAGAATGTCATACAATCGTAATTTTTATATTAAAATTTTAGCATACACAAAAACTAATATTGAATTATTAATTTATGATTTCTAAGTAAAAAGTAACTGAATCTACTGTTTTTTAAATTTATGAAATTGTTAAAACTTTATTAGCTTATATTTTAAAAAATTTATATCAATGGCTAAAACTAATTTATTAATTTTTTTCAACATTAAAATTAATCAAAATTTATTTACAGATACGGTAAGCAACTTAAATTTAATTATTTACAATCTTAGAAATTCAATAAAATTTTATTAGATTCTTTTGAAGTTTTTATATACTATAGGCCTAAGTTTTGAAAATAGTTTTTAGTTAAAAAAAAAGTATCTTCTCATTTATCCTCATATTACAGAGTTTAACACCCAATGTCTCCCATCACTCATCAAACATCCACCGCCGCAACCGCACCGCAGTATCTTACTCTGCCAGTTGCGTCTGCGTTTGCGGTTTGAAAACGCCAAAACAAACACAGATTGTCAGCCTAGATTTTTGCAGACCGAACCTCTGGAACAAGTTCTCTTAGATTAGATGGAGATGCTGTTGGGAATTCCACGGCCTGTAACTCCGTGTCCGGACGTAGGGAGAAGCAGTTCATACGGAGGGATTCCCGCCCCACTTCTGTTCTTGAGCTTCCTATCCTTGTTCCTCCCTTCTATCATCTCCTCGATCTCCCTCAGCTCATCCGAGAAATTCTTGAACAATTCCAGAACTTTCTGATCTTGAATCCAATGCCGTTGAAGGTCTTCCAGTTCGATCAAGTACTCTTCGTCCATGGAATGAGTAGATAGCGTGTCTTGGACCGCCATTACTTTCGTTGCTTGGAGCTTTGTGGGCAAAGAAGAGAGGAAAACGTACTGAGGGTTGAGTATGAAGTTGTGGTAATCCATGTCCGTCTCTTGTGGAATGAGTTTTCTCATAAGCGTTGGCCGGTTCGGGACGTATCCTCCGAAAGGGTATTGCCCGAAATTGATGGCGGCATGTTGCCCCGAGGCTATCCATATCATCGTGGTGAGGATCTCGGATAATTCCTCTTTGGTGTTCAGTTTCGGCCACCAAGGTTCGTTCCTCTTGTCAGAGTGACCCTTGTTCTTGATCTCGTCCCACCAAGATTGGAGCTCAGTATCGGATTTAACAGAGTTTTCATCCGAGTAGAAGTGATCGACGTATGATTCGACAAGATTCTTGATCGCCGACCAGATTAGAAGAGCGT